TTTTAAAAGATAAAAGGGAGAGATCACTTATGTTATATTAAGATATACTGAGTTGAGATATATGTTTATAATATTATAGTAATTGACAAGAAAAATAATGGGATGCGATCAGAGTGGGACAGTAGACGCCGACAACGAAATTGGCTCGAAATATGCAACTAAATCCCAGCTCTGTCTTAGGAGCTTATACTTGCAAGCATGCAATTAGCAAACTCAAAGTTCTTAAATTATTCAATGCTTGAAGATATAGCCAAGTCGCTCTAGTTTCTGAAGTTTGAAATGAAAAAAATCATGCATACATGCTTCCTCAACCGTTTTCATATCTACATCTACAGTAAATAAGTCTAATTTATAGCGTCTGATAAAATACATTAGATTTCTGTTGTAAATAAGTTACTTTTTATTTTGAAAGAAATTATCATTATCGAGAGTTACATTACAAGAAAATATTGATTACACATTACATTTAGAATACATTATTTATTCTTTTATATTATGTACGGACACAGGAGACATCTTTAAAAACTCTCTTTGAAACAATGTTCCTGCCACCTTATCTAAAAATCTCGACAAGTAAGATAAAATGCTCTTCCTTATCCCTTATTGGCAGAACAAACCTTTCTCATTTTTTAGATTTTTTTTGTTAATTAAGATATTAAGTGAGGCTCTTCTTGGTATATAGTATAGTGCAAGGCAAATTCAGGTCCATCAATAGATATTTCTATTGATTAAAATACCATATAACGTGTTTCTTCAATTCATAAAAATAAATTCATAAAAAGTATAACAACTTGTGCTGACTCTGTAAAGTTATGACATATCGATGTTACGACATCAGTTTATCATAGATGAACAGTTGAATTTTCAATGCACATATTAAACAAGCTAATTTAATTTTTCATCATATAAATATAATTTGACCTAAGCTTTGAAAAAAATTGAGCTTCTCTTGTATAACGAGAATTTATGTAAGTATGCTTTATAAAGAACTCTTCTTTAACATGATAGAATATCGAAAGTACATTTCAGCAGACACCCAGGATGATTGTACGACGGTAAACATATAAGAACATTTGTCAAGTGTATGTTTATATTAATATAGCGCATTTGGAAAAATGGAGATCGATAGCAGTGATATACTTAATAAAAAATGTTTCGTTATTAAAATTTGATTAAATATCAAAAATTGATACGCAATAAAAATTTAAAATATTACTTTTGATTAAAATTACAATGTGGTGTGGAAGTTATCACCGTATTATGAGCCGCTATTCTAATCAAAAGTATTACTCTTTTGAATATTATATTTTCTATATTGATTTCAAATTTTTCTTTTTATCGAGAATTGATTTTTTTTCATAATCACTATTATTTCATTATTATTATTTTATCTTGATTTTATTCGAAATAATGGAAATGATATTAATGATTCCAGAGTTTCATACATATTTTTTTATATATATATTCTTTGTATATTCTTTTCAAATACAATTTTATGTATTAAAATTATTCTGTAGATCAATTGATTATACAGTATGATCTTTATTTTCTCAATTTTTTTCATTTTTTTATTAATTATTGATAATAATTAATAATAATAATAATAACCCTTTAATAATAAAAACCCTAGCTCTCTCTTGAGAGCTTTTGAGATTTGATATTTATGATAACAAATAGATGTTAATGGAAATTTGTTATTGATCTCCATCTTTACAATCGCAGCTATGCATAAGATATTTAATTCTACTTTATATTTTTCGTGGTGTATATGTACATATATGTACACACGCACACATCACGATATATATATATATATAATATAGAATATAATAGAAATACCGTAAATATATATATATAAGTTTTAAGCGTACAATTCGGACTACGCTTCCATGCGATGGAAACGTTTCTTCTCATTTAGGTCTTTAAAGACTTTTTTCTTACATATTTTATATATATTTATATGTACTTATATTTATTATGATATTTAATTTATATATATATATACTTAATGCTCATTAACATTTAATTCTTTTTTCCAATAATTGAATCACTACAGATACAATTCGGCTGACAAAACCGCAGACACTTAAATGCAACGATATACAACGTACATATATACGATTAAGCCGTTTGACAGGCTTATTAATTTTAGACATTTAAAATTAGAAGAAATGGATTAATAAGCAATGAAAGCTTAAATTATCAATAAGATATAAATTTTGGTCGGATATGATTTTGCATTTGTAATATTTGATTTATGTAAAAATCAGACTTAATTTTCCATAGTTTGGTAAGAAATTAAGTTTGTACATATATTTACACAGAGATCAATGCGAATGACGAGCAAGTGTTTTATTGCCTACTATTTTAATTTATTTGATAACTAAACGAAAGACGTTTGCATTTGTTTTCTTTACACACATTATGTTTCATTTTAGTTAGCATATGAATTACACTCTTGACAAAATACACAATGATAACAACAGTCAATACTCGCGATTAACATGTTCACTCGCGAAGTTATTGTTAGGCCTTTCAATTAGCCTGTAAGCTATTAATATGACACACTTTAAATACTCTTCTAGGCCACATTTGTCACATTATGACAGATTTAGATTTCCAATAAATGTAATTTTCTTTTTCTCAAAGAGGAAGAAGCATAATTAGATAATAAGAGAAATATAGGACCTGAGAAAATAAACCTGAGAAAATAGATCTTAGCAAAGACGACGGACTCGATCAGCTCGGACTTGGTAATTGTCTTCTCGCGATGTGTCTTATCTTAAAATATTTAGTTTGTACGTTTAATTATTGATCTGTTAAGCGAAACACGAGATCTCTCTCTGCTCTTGCTTCGCAGTTTGGAAAAATCACGTTTCCTTCATTATAACTTCGGAGAGTTTTTAATGCATTAAAATGTTACTTTAAAAATACGTTTCTAAATCGTTCAGGTATCCAAAACTAAAAAATGCACAATTGAATCGCGCATAGCGTATAGCGCAAATTGTTGTATAACGAACAAAATAAGTGAATAGTGCTTGGATTAGTGCATGGATATATGTATTATATTCATGATTGTTTTTCTTAGTTTTCTTTCTTCGTATATCAGTATTCGAGATGCAACGAAACATTATGCATCTTCAACAAGCTGCGTTCAGTTTTGCAAATCGTAGGTAATCTGAGGCATTTGCTCTTTCATCTCGAAAAGCGTTCAGCAATTTATATCTCAGAATTAATCTCGATGCTCAGATTGATCAAAGATCACATGATTCAATCTTGTTTTGCTCGCATTTCAGATTTACAATGCCGAACGCAGCATATAATATATCATCGATATATCTATAAAAGTGCAGAAGAACGGCTGCTTCTTAATATTCTTCACCGTTTTTTTCGTTTTTATTTTATTTTTTTTTGTTTTTTTTTTTGTTTTTTGTTGAGACGATGAGGAAATATACATCATTTTGCTATACATTTCATGTGTGGTTATGGTCATCATTTGATTATTTATTACGGCGATTGTATTTCCTTTAATCAAGGACGCAAATTATTCGGCCAAACGGCTAGATTGTAATGGCGATCAAACTACTAATGTAGCGTATGCCACTCAGCGATTTGCTTCCTCGGTGATTGCGTCATTTGAAGCCAGTGCTCTCGTCCTTGGCTATTGCCGCTGTCCGTACCTGTGGCCGGTCCGATGATGCAGGATCCGACAATGGCATTTCCGCCGATCAGTTCGCTACTCGAGTCCAGAACGCATATCTTACATAGATTACAATAATCAATTAATTATTCCTGTCCTATTTAATCTATGTATTATCTTTGAAATACTAACTTTGAAATATATCAATTGTTGTGCATACCTCTATAGCCGACGTCGCCAGTGACGAGGCAGGTATATTAAACGACATCGCTTCGTTCCAGACGGGATTTGTCGTTGATCTTCTAACAGCTGTTTTCTTCTTCTTCTTTACTCTTCTTTCTCCACAGAGAAGACTAACTTTCGCGAACGGATCCAATGTCTCTTTATCCTGCATTGTTACAGAGCGCTTACTTTTTAAAATAATTATTAAATAATTTATAGCGATAAACAGAACATAAATTTTTGATAAAAAATAATACAACGTACCAAAAAAATTAAAGAATATTTTTTGAGAAATATGTGTAATTCTTTTTTATGTCTTTATGAAATATTCCATGTTTTTATGAAATATTTTTATGTCTGGTAAAAGTAAACATTATTTTTTTGAAAAATATAGATTACTTTTTTATTTTTAAAACAAAAGGTGACACGCACTTGAAGATAAAATCTTTTCAAATAATCATTTTTATATATTCTACCTGTTGGGGAAAGAGATTTCTGGCTTTCATCATGAGAACCGTCAGTCTCTCGGCACTCGGTAAATAAGACAATGAAACCAAAACCTCTTGGATCTCTTCCGGTGGTTTACGTTCCCTCGCTATCTCACCCCAAACTTCCACCGATGAGGTAGAAGAGACCAATTCGAGGCTGTCCATGGCTACTCTCACCGAACCTACCACGTCGTTCCTCGAGAAACGGTCGTAATCGAATACCTAATTGTGTCATAACATTACGTGTTTCAATAATTTTGATTAAATCGAGAATGCATTCTAGCCTACTCGTTTTATACGATTGCCAATGACATGTAATTGCCTGTAAAACTAGAGTCTTTTCCTGCAGCTCCTCGTAGCTGACGGGGAATTTAAAATGCTGATCAAAAAACGGATTCGGATCGTTTCGATGAATCTGCGTTTGTCTCTTCCTGCTGTCTACTTCCGGACTGAGAGTCAACTTTACATAGGGATCGTTGAAACCGCCCTGATCGCTGCCTGCGAGATCGTGTGCCTCGATCAAGTGCACATCCAAATCCGATTTATCAAAGTCGTACCTCAAACGCAGATGAAGCCTGCCCAAATGTTTTCCTGTCCTACAATTACGAAAATATTACAACGATTGGCAAATGATGTTACTATTTGTAATAATCGAGTACTTTCTGCGTGAGCGAAAGAAACCAGTTTAAAATTTACTTATACTTTTCATCAGCAAAGTTTTATAAGCGAAGTTTTATTATGTACCTGCGAGCGCTAAGAAAGACAGGACCGTCTCGTCTTTGATAAAGATCTGGTTGTAAAGAACCAAGTGGAGAAGCAGGTGGCATGGGTCCACCATCGCTGCTACGGAAAAATAAGCAATATTACATTTCCAAATTTATGTTCAAAACATATCTTCTTACTAATAAAGATTTCATGAAATTTTAATAATTTATTATTATTAACCTCTTCACGGTATATGTAACATATGTATACAGAAAAAAGACGTGCCACCAGTGTAATATAGCATATATGCACATCTAAAAAAAAAACCGATTTATTCTTTTGTGATTTGTATAAAACTTGGTATTATATGGTTTTTAAGATTGCTGAATCCGAATATAATATCAGAATTTCGAAATTCAAAATGGCAAATCCAATGTAGCGGATGAAAATTTGAAAAAGTAATTGGATTGTTATAAAAATGATATTCCAAAATTGTTGAAATCACTAAATAAAAATCTATCAAAATTTTGTTATTCTAAATAGTATATCATACTTTGCTGAAAAGAATCACTTGAAAATAATAATTTATTTAAACTTTAAAAAATATTATATCAATATAGAACAATTGTTTATAAATTCCGCTCTCCGCCGAATCCAGAGACACGGAACGAGGAACGTGGTAAATTTTAACTGCGTGTTTTATTTTTGTTTTTATTTTTTCAACTTTAGTCCGCTATTTTAAATCCGCCATTTTAAATTTTTAAATTCTGGTATCATATTCGAACATTTAACGATCTTGAAAACCTTAGAATAATCATTTTTATAAGAACTTAATTATTTTTCCAAATTTTGATCCGTCATATTAAATCCATTTTGAAATTTTAATATATTCATATTTGAATTCTACAACTTCAAAAATGTTAATATTAAAAAATCGTATCGAAATTAAAAAAATTTTTTTTCATACAATGATGATATAAAAATTTCATTTTTGTCACATTGCGAATAGGTTAAAGATAAATCCACGCAAATTCTTTCTAATCAATGTATTATATAATTAATTATAATTAATTAATAAGCAAAAATCGTGGAAGCTAATATAATTATATTAGAAAATTTATTCAGAGAATAATTAATGGAAAAAAAGTATTAAATTCATATTTAAATCTTTTCCAAGAATTAATAATTCTTTTCCAAGAAAATTAATACACGCGATAAGAGAAAGAAAGAAATAGAACTTTTCCGATATTCTCATCAAGTATTTATTTCAATTTTATTATAGTTATGCAGAAATGCAGAAATGACGTTATTCATATTTTTATGAAGATTTCGATATATTTATCCCATTTGTGAGAATTCTATTATTTACCTTATGGAAGCACGTGGCGGTGGGATGAGGAGAGGCGATAAGCAACGACTGGTCTGTCTGGAAGTACTTTGAACGGCATTCATCGGCGAACACCCGCAAGTGGAACTTACACCCGTTGCCACGGACGACAAAGAGGTCTGTGAAGGCGATGCATTTCCACTATGCAGACTGCCCGTGTAAGTGGCAGGACTTGCACAACGTGCATCCAAGGACGCCGCACGAGCTGGTGAAGGAGATCTGCGGGAAATTTCCAAACTATACGTCCATGGATAAGAGACAAAGAAAAGAATTTAAACAACAATTATATAACATTATATGACATTTTCATGTAATTTAAAAAATTATTTGTCTACATAAAAATTACATATGTGAAAATAAAATCTTTTAAATTTGAAATAAATAAAAGAATTTTTCAAATGGTTGAAAGATTTATAAATAAAAATGGATATAATGAATCTAGAGAAACATAAAATACAGAAAAATTTTGTTAATCATATGATGATAAATCAAATGATGAAAAATTATTTAAATAAATTTAACAAAATTTTTGAATAAAAAAATATAATTAATTCTATAAATACATTAGTCATCCGCATGCCTATTTCTAGCGTGAATAAGTTATTTCGTAACGATATTTCTATCTGCTTTCTATCAGCTATATGTTAATAACCGTTATTAAAATGAGTTTTGCAAAATTGATATATTATTTCCCAGTTTTAAAAAAATTCCAATTAATTTTCAAATACTTTATAAAACCAAAATTTATAAAACTTTAGCAAGAGAAGTTTTATTCAATAATCTTTTATTCCATTACAAGATTTTGCGCATTAAACAGTAAATAAAGAAATATAATATTATATTTATATTTGTTCTGACCTCGAGCTTCTACTAGGTGGATACGAAGAGGCGGTGTGTAAAGGATCATGTCGAGGATGATGCCGTCCGTCCGGGCCGAATGCTCTGATTTGAGGTGACGATGATCCCCGATGACTCGAAGGGCAGGATGCACCCTCCAGCGAGCTTTGAGAACTGACAGACGAGTTTCTCGCCAATGTACGACCACCACTTCCGCCACCGCCCGGGTAGCTACGACTTTGATGGGGCAAACCTTCAGGTGGAAAATATATTACGAAAAATTAAGCGGGATGAAAAATTACCCTGGCAATAACTAGAAGATAGCTTTCAAGAGCCTTTTAATTAAGTCTGCGCGACGACGGTTCATAAATTTCTTTATAATCGAATTCCATCCGTGAGAATGAATGATGCCTCGAGCGCGCCTCGATATCGAAAAAATTTCTAAATAAATATTAAAAATTAAACATGACGTACTACATTAGAAATTATTGATAAAGAAGAAATTTTAAATGTACTTGTCGATATAATTTAAAAAAATTCTATCATCTCCATCAATATTAATCAACAAGAGAAGTAATTGTAAACTTCAAGAGCTTAACTATCTCGTTTAAAGTTTTAATTATCATTTCGCAGGAGCAAAACTAAGCATAATTTCCTAGAAATTGTATTAAAGGGATGTAGAAATTACGCATTACCATTACCATTTAATCACAAACAATTAATATTTGTGGTAAGAATCTGTTAAAGGCAGTCTTAATTACCCGATTCAGTTGCCGATGGTTGTACCGCATGTTGTTCCTTCGCGACGTTAAATTCCTGAAATAGAAAATATAGGGCAATTAGAACTCTTTTTAATAATCCCGATGCGAAACTCATCGAGTTTCAATCCGAACGTGCTTCACGCTTGTTAAATATTCGCCGAATAGATTTTTAATTAAGTGTACAACAACGCATACGGCCGCGTGACTCTAGCTCCAATTTTTCATTTGAACATTTTTTTCGACAAGATATTTCTGATATTTTCCTCAAATCAAAAATTCTGGTGGAATTTATTTGCACGAAATATCTTTAACCTTTCGAGCTTATTACCGCAAATCAATGTGCATATCATTGTGCAAAGTAAACATTATATTTATTTTTATATATCAATGTCATTATATTGTACTATAAATGATATACGTCCGTCATATCCGAGTAATATTTATATATTAATATGATACTTAATAAGAACGTTAAAATTTATACATTGAAAAATTAAAATGAAGAAGAAGAAATTACAAGAAAAATTGTACAGTTAATATATACAAGGTTGGGAAAGTTACCTTGTAAAAGTAACTAGTTATAGTTATAGTTCTTTCCTTTCAAAAAATAACAAGTCGTTACTCTCTAGTTTCCTGTAATGTTTTGTGCAATGTTACTTTAAATATAAAAATCTTATATTTCTGATATATTTCTTGTAATATATTTCTAAGGACTGATTGCAATGACATTAAGCGAGAAACTGACTTAAAACTTTACATTTATTGTAGCAGTCGAATTTGATTAGTTCTTATTTTACATCTAACCAACCACATTAAAATTAAGTTCGGAAATCGAAGTGCTTCATCCGAGTGCTCCTATGCATCATTTTATTCTTGTTTAACATTTGGTGAAAAACAAAGATAAAATGATACATGGTGTACTCAAATATTTTCGAACATAACCTAAAAGTATGAGAAGCAGGCTGTCAGTGCTATTGGCTGTCTTCAATTCAACAGCTTTGCAACTGTGTAAGATTCTTAAATGTGATTAGTTTATACATTTAGATTCATGAGAAGGAGGAACTCTAATAAAAATCCATCATATCAAAGATTTTTACAGTTACAGTTGCAAAACTGCTTTCTCTGTTGAATGTAGCCATTGTGTCATTTTATCATTAAATGTAAAACAAGGATAGAATAACACAATAGCGCTAAATAACAAATACATTTAAAGTATATAAAGTAACAATAAAAGTAAATATTAAATTAGTTATTAGTTATTAAAAAAATGTAACAAGTTAAGTTATAGTTATTGAAAAAAAGTAACTCTAACTGTAACTTCCCTGAATATATATATATATATATATATATATATATATATATTATATATATATATATATATATATATATATATATATATATTATTATATATATATATATATATATATATATATATATATATATATATATATATATATATATATATATAATATATATATTTTTATTTATACATTATTATGTATCATATATATGTATCATATATATATATATATATATAAATTATAGTTGATATAAATAAGAAATAGAAAATTAAAATAAGTAATATTAAAATCTCAAGATATTTTTATTTTATAAAATTATCGTCTGATTGTGCACTTGTCAAACATTTAATATTTAATATTATAGAATGTAATCGCAGAAAATCATCTCATAAAAACATCTCATTGACTTAATAGAGAAGAAAATACTATCATTTAATTATTCTCTTTTAAGTGATTGCAATTTACATTCGTGTTCTCAGTTCTTCTTTATGTAATAATAAACAATGAGAGATATAGAGCGAATTTTATATCGTGCATGGTGATAATCTTCAAAACATTGCAATATATTATACAAATTGCACATATTAAATCAAATTATACTTCACCAACGGTTTTATATATCAATATACCTCGTATATACCTCGCATCAATATGTTCTCTTTTATTACGACATTAATTATTCCTTTCCGTATTCTTTATTTTTACTGTTTCTGGCTGCTATTATGTTGAGAGAATTATGTTGATATTTTTCTATATTGACATCGTCTGCCTGTGCGCGCGCGTTGGGTGTTACATATGTAACTTTATTCTGTGAAAGCAAAAGCAGCATGCATTTTAACGATTTAATTACAACTTCGTGAACACATGATTCGTCGCATCATGTTACTCCATTTGTCAGCGGAGTTAACGCTTTAATTAAAGATCGCTTGTTTCAAGAATTGAGCGTATTAATATCCGTTCGTTTCTCACAGCAATTGTTTTCCTCACGTCGAAAAGCTAAGTTTTCTCACAATAACAAATGTGATTGAATCAATCAATTTTAAAAATGCTGTTTTTAACTTCATCATAAATATATCTTCTTCCTCTTCTTTTATATAGAGAAAGAAGATATTTCCTCTTTTTTATATATAGACATAAAAGCTTGTTTTTTCCTCTCTCTTCATATTCCTGTGGTGCGCATACAGATGATGCACAAGAATATGGGACCTACAATTTAACGCCGGTTCCAAACGGCACACTTTTTGGGAAGGTATTCTGGGCAGAAAACGCTCTCGTGCTTTGCCAGATCGTCGAGAGGAGACACGAGCGTATGAAAATATTTTGGTTCTGTCGAGATTTGAACCTGGAATCTCTATCACAGTAAACTAGTGCGCTATTCACTGTGCCACGCTCTTAAAAAAATTCTAGACCTTGAGCCATCGTCCTCTTTGCTAAGTACGTCGAGCTGCAATATTAGACTCTCCATGAAGAAATTTATGATGCTGCATCATTGTCGATACTTGTACCATCAACAGCAAAGCTTTTAGGGCCTGTTCTACTACTTCACCTTCATGCGCCTATGGTGCGCATGTAGGTGACGTACACAGGAACCCATTTTTTAAGAGCTGGTTCTAAACGGCGAATTTTTGAGGAGGTTTTGTGGGCAAAAATACTCTCGTGATTTGCCGTCAAGAGGAGACACGAACGTATGAAAATATTTTGATCTTACCGGGACTCGAACCCGGGATCTTTAAGCGTACTAGACTAATGTGTCGTTTACGCCACGGTCGCTGTCAAATATATATTTTGAATAATATTCTAATAATATTTATTATTTCAAGAAATTCTTAAAACTATAATTTTCTATAGTCTGAGATATTTTTAATAAGTTTTACTAAAAATGTTAAAAGAAACATACAATAAGTTAGTGAAAAAGTTATAAATATGTCCATTAAGTTTAACTTGATTTGTGAGAAAATCTAAAATCAAAATATTATAATATAAATATAAACTATCAGAATAAAAATTTATTAGTTTTTATATATATGTATATTTAATAATTAATTATATTATTTTTTTATTATATATATGTGTATTATTAATGAATATTTTTTGTAGCATTAAACAAGAACTCATTTAGTTTCACTTCATATCATTTTGTAGAATTTATATCAATCTATTCATGCCTGATTTTATTTTATATCATGTAGAAATAAATGTTTGTAATATTGTATGTAAAATAACAATAACAATAAGAAAAGACACGATTATTAAGACGATATAACAATCATATAAATAGATTCGTAGTCTTCTTAAAAAAATGCGATTTTTATTCGATATGATCTTTTAAGGGTCGCTCTTCAGATGGCGAAGATAATCGAATGGTTCCTTTGAAGTTTCGAAGCATCCTCCAAGGTAAGCCCTTGATAAGGGCGAACCTTTGAATTATGAAGCTAGAGAGAGGAAGAGAGAGAAAGAGAGAGAGAGAGAGAGAGAGAGAGAGAGAGAGAGAGAGAGAGAGAGAGAGAGAGAGCTACGTA